CATTTTATCCTCGCAAACTCAATGTTTTGCTTTTTTTATTTGTCAAAACTGTTAAGATTATCAGTAAAAAACGTTAAATATATTTTTTCTCGATGCTGAAGCTTTATGTTCAAGAGTTATGAAATTAATATTTGTTGAAATAAACCAGATTTTTCTGTCAATTTGTTATTCTGAACAGTTGAAATTGTGAGAGGAAATTTGTTCTTGTTAAATGTATAAATTCACTGCATTTCAGTTTCACAGACTTGTTTATTTCATGTATTGCTTTTCAAATAAATGGAAAACAAGAAGGAAAAACAATATCAGAAGGATCGATGTTGAAGTGTTTGGAAACAATTTTTTAAATGTAAAAGTATTGAAGATCAGTACACAGTACACATTTTGTATTTTCAAACTTTGAATTGTTGCTAATTAATCTCATTATCTTAGCCTTATACATTTACATTGAGAAAACACTTTTACATTGTATTCCCTTAATTATTTATTACATTTTCTTTACATTACATGGGCATAAATTGCTCTGTGCAAATCTTAAATATTACTTTGTAAAAGCTGCAGAAGCTTTAGTGAAGGTCAGTAAATCATGACAGTATATTTTTGGGTGAACTGTCTGTTAAATGGTAATTGGTTTCTTTGTTGCTGTTTCCTTGTTCTCTAATAAGGATGCAAAGCTAATCTACATTCAGACAAGTACTCGTAAGGATACACATTATTCATACTTTTTTGAGCCATCTGTTGATTAAAAAATTAATTCTGCTTTTATAAAACCTGAATATTGTATTTGCCCTTTGTATGCATTTGTTATTAAAGTGCTCTTTTTATTAGAAAACTTGTGTTTAAGGTGAAGTACACAAAAAAAAAAAAAAAAAAAACGTAATTTAAAAATAAATGAGACAAACCTTTGTTTTTAGGCAGCCCATTTCTGCCAGGGATTATAAACAATAAAGAGGGTACATTTTTACATAAAGGTAAATTTTACGTCTTGCAGTTTTGACAGTTTTTCACAGTTTAAGGAATAAGTTGTGAAATGCTGTATAAGGATGTTTTGCACAAAAATGCCACAGTTCCTAGAGAACTGTTGAGAGCATACATAGCTCTGGCTACATAATTTGTGATCTTCAGAAATGTATAAAGGGCTACGTTTTCAACGTAGCCGTACGTGTAGGCTATTTGGAATGTTCATACCAAAGGATTTAGTAAGGATTTTAATAACAGAACATCTTCTGGAGGGAACTAAATTTGCTCCTATACTGTACTAATCCAGCACAATAATAAAAATTGTGCATGCCATACAAAACACTATTTTGGCAAGACAAACACATACAGAAAGGTAATGTCCGCACCATTTACAGTACCTGTTGCCTTTGTCTGTGGCATTGTGTTATTTTTTCACATCCTCTGTGATATGTAGCACTAAAGCTGATGGTGCTGCAGGACTTTTGTTATTGCTTTTTCAATTGCAAAACTTACACAAATAGTGTACATGGCTACATGCCATCTGCGTGATCACAAAACTCACACCACACAGTAAAACTAAAGCTCTAAACATATACTGTATCTCATCAGAGTTCATTCAGGAATATATTCAAGAAAATGGCCAGAGGGGGAAGTTTAGTTCTCTGGGAACAAGCCTGGTGACTAGTTCCTGTAACTACACAGTATGGTGATAGCTCTTATAAACTTAAAATTGTCTGATAAAATCTCAGATCAAATAAACTCAAAGTTCTCAGAATTTGAAATGAGAAATAAGTTGTCTTTTTTTCCTTTTTTCAAATTGTTTATTTCTAGCAGTTCTGAGCTATATGTTGTATGATATCATACTTTTGCCTTTAAATTGCTGAAATAATCCTGCACAACTATAGTAAATGCAAGAAATGTTGTCACTTCCCTTTACTGATAAGATTTGAAGCACTGAAAGGTATGTGTGCTCTTCATTGGTGGAAAGAGTACTGAAAAATCATACTAAAGTAAAAGTACCATTACTTGCCTAAAAATGTCGTGCAAGTAGACTAAAGTATGTTGTAAATAAAACTCAGTATGAGTAAAAAGTAGTCCTTTTAAAAGTACTTAAGAACAGTGAGTAGTGAGTATTACGCTGTGAGAAGCTGATGCATTGACATGTAATTTGAGAATGTGTGTAAACGTACGTCATATTGGTAACGTCAAAACAACACTATCATTAGACGTTGATGTTTGGTTGATTTTAGTTTGGATGTTGGACATTGACGTCGGCTTGAGGTTGGGTTTTGACATCAACCTGATTTTCATTTCCAAACAAAATGCAACGTCTCCACAGCGTTGAGGTACAACGTCAATCTGATGTCATGTTGACATCCTGTGCCTGCGGGGTGTTAAAGGCTATTTCAATCATCATACAGTAAACATTCGAAATCTTCTCATCATTGACATGCATCTAAACAGTCTATGGGTCATTGCATGTAAAGATTTTGGACATCTTCTTGGACACTTTTAATACTTCCAAACAGTTTGCTGCAAATATAAATTGCCCATGTCTTGTTGTAGTTTATTTTGTAGCGATTTACCCTCTGTGTGCGATTTGATTGGACAGGACTGATTTTTCTAGTCTCCTTAGACAAGAAAAAATAAAGTAGTAACTGCACAGTAGGCTGAAGGAAAGCAGTTCCAATAGCGCACTAAAAATATACTCAAGGAAAAGTAAAAGTAGGCATTTTTAAAACTACTCAGTAAATTAACATTTCTGAGAAAATATACTCCTTTTCAAAATTACTCAATATTTGAGTACTTATAGTTTGATGTGTTAATCGTGATTTTACTAGTGCGTTTATGCAAGCAAATGGAGTTTTTGACAAAAAAAAAAAAACAGTTTAAAATTGTTAATTAATTCTGTTGCCTTCAAATCAAGATACTGTACTGTAAGGAATTTGTTAGTGAACTTATTTGAAAAGCACAATGTACTGTAAATACTGTAGTATCCACTTTAATGAAAAAATCACTCATATATGCCAAACATTTACCACAGTATAACTGCAGCTATGGGCTGGTATTAGATTCTGATGGTATGATAACCTTGGATAAAAATATCACAGTTTTACGGTTTACGGTTGGGGTTTAATCTTTGACTTTTCCAAACCGCTGTATACCTTGAAAAAGATTATTATCCCATGCCTAGCTGCAGCTTATATGTTTACAAATCGACATCTTTGTTTGTGTTTGCAAAACACACTGTACAAAATACTGTTTTCTTAAAATGCAATAGACACAAATAAAATGATTAAATGCACATTTTAAAGACTCTTTTCTAGACCTGCTGTTTGATCAGACAGCTATGAGTAAAGACATTTTACACAAGCTTGGATTAAATGTATTAATTTCCAAAATCATAACCTAATACCGCTTGCTTGCTGAATTAAACATGCAGTGTAATGTGACAACAATGAAGTATTATAGTCTTAAAAATATTTATCTTTGCCTCATACATATTAAAAATCATAAACACACACACACACACACACACAGCCGGTGTGTACACAGTGTGCAGTAAGCATTGTGCATTCAGCAGGTCTGCGCAGTGAGTGATTAGTGATGTCTTGGGACACCTTTAATCAATCTCCCCCTCATCTGCGCACGCTTGCTCTGGTCTGGATTGTATTGCTGTGAATGGAGCAGATGGTGAGACTCAGAGGTGATTTGATCAGCTATACATTATACTTGAGTGGGATCAGCATTGTGGAGTGATGCAGGCACATTATAGACTGTGTTACAGTGTCTGTGTGCAAATCTACATTCACCTTTACATTGGATCACATGGGGAAAATTATTACTAATAATCCTATTAGAGAATGGGTTTGTGTGCATGTGTGTGTGTGTGTGTGTTTTCGGAAGATCTCTGCCCTGTTGGATAGGAGGTTGATTGGTTTGATTAGAGTTAGTAAAAGGTCATTAAAGGTGAAGATCAGCGTGAAACAGCAGTTGTTAATAGAGCTCTGTATGTGTGTGTGGCAGCATGTGTGTCTTGCACCTGTGCACACATTAAGTTGTTAGTTGTTGATCTGATTATTGCTTGATGGGCTCATGGACTTCCTGATTGGGTTGTTTTTGGTGAACTGAAGAAGACATTTTTTATTTTTTTATTACAGCAACACGTTTTGGTGCTGTGAAACCTTTATGGCAACGAAGATATTTGTCTGGGAGGCAGTATTTTGTTATTTATTTGTTTGTTTATTTGCTGTATTTTACTAATTCAACACATTGTTGCTAATTTTTTATTGTAGGTCAAGAATGTAGTTCAGTTATATTAACAATGCTAATATAACAATTTAATGTTGTTGTTTTGTTGTTATTGTCTTTGTTTATTTGTTACTTTAGCTTGCTGTTGTTACCGTTTACTTTTATACTATTGCAAATGATTTGATTTGTTTTTACTGCAGGGCTTTAATGTGTTTTTTTTGTTTATTTACTGCAGACAGTAGTGTTGCGTGATTTATTTATTTATTATTATTATTATTTAATTTATATACACTTTACAAACAATATTGTTGCACCTTGTACTTTTATGCAAATGAATTGATTTCATTTTATGTATTAATTGTCATTATTACTGTCATCATCATAATTATGATCACTTGTTCATTTGTTGCTACTGTTGAAGGCTGTTGTTCCTGAGGACTGTTTTTGTAATATGACAAATTTTGTTTTTATATTATTTTGCTGTAGTGCAGTGATGTTGTGGAACAGTAATTTTTTTTTGTATTATTTATTATTTAATTTTGTTAATTTTTTATTTAATTTTATTATTATGTTTTGTTATCACTTTGGCACATTGGTGTACATTATAGATTTATATAATTAATAGATGTAATAAATGTCAAACTGATAAAATTATATTTGCATACTGCAGGGCATTCATTTGTGTAGCTCATTATTATAACATCTGCTTTCATCTTCAGCATAATGTAGCAATGAATTTAATAAATAATATGTATTTCATTTTACAATTGTATGCCCTTTTTTCCCTGCAGGGCAGTAATGTTGTGGAGGACCAGGACCTGCTGGAGATTGGGATTTTAAACTCTGCCCACAGACAGCGACTTCTTCAGGCTATTCGCCTTTTGCCCAGGGTGAGTAGAGACATCAGGGACGTCCTACAGCTCACAAGAGACTGCTGCCAGCTCCAAAAATACCTGCTAACAATGCATTTAGAAGCAGGCTTATTCTTAAAGCATAATAAGAAACGGTCCATCACACCTTATAAACATGTACATGTTTTCCTTTGCAAAAAATCCAATGAATAATTTAAACCTGATCATTTCAGATTATTTAAAATATTTGTCAAAATTCATTAACTCAAAACAAAATGAGTATTTCTTTTGACTCAACGCAATTTCTCACAATGTTGGTTACAATTTAATCATAAAATCAAATAAACTCAGTTGTGCATTAAAAAAAAAATCTAAACAAAGTGTTAGTCAGAAGCAGCATTTGTTAATAGACTGGTTTATGAACTTACGTGGTTATGCACTTATTTCACCTACACTATAGAGCAGAGATGCCCAAACTAGGGCCCAAAGGCCAAAATTGGCCCATGGTAACCTTTGATTTGGTCTGCCATCCCATCTGAGAAGAGAGGAAGAATGATGGGGAATGTTGGGGGGAATGCATAGATTATATTACATAGATTGTCATTTTTAATTGAACATAACCTTTTGTTTGTTGAATTGTTCAGCTATAAAAAAGCAAACTGAAAATGAATATTTCAATTAAATGTTAATTAATCAGATAAAAAAAAATAAAACATTCAAACAAACAAAAAACATTGCAAAAGACATCTTGCAGCTTTTATGTGTATTTGGTAGTGAAACTCCATTGTGTTATAAATGGGATGTTCATGTTTTTTATTGTAAGAAGTTCTTTATAAAATGTACAAAAATGTATATTAACACAATTCAAGTATTTTTTCTATCTATTTTTAAAATATTAATAAATTAGGAAATGATTATAACAATTTTAATGTACTACAGTTTAGTATATTTACCTTCGGCGCACCCCCTCAATCAATTTGTTTTTTGGCCCTTCATAGGACAAAGTTTGGGCACCCCGATATAAAGTAGAGTCTGATAAAAAGCATGCTGGGAACTAGAAGTCTGCTTCTACAGTTACAGTCTACAATCAGTTTAAATGGATAGTTCACCCAATAATGAAACTTTTTCAGTTTCCTTTTTAAAAATGTTAAAAATCTTGTAACCATTGACATCCATATTAGGAAAAATAAATACTATGGAAGTCAATGGTGACAGGTTTCCAGCTTTCTTCAAAATATCTTCTTTTCTGTAAAAAAAAAAAAAAAAACAAACTCAAACAGGTTTGTGAAAGTAAATGGCGAGTAAACGATGACAGAATTTTTTAGTTTTGGATGAACTCTGCTTTTAAATTAACCTTTTAAAAATAACTAGTTCATTAAACTATTTATTGCAATGAACCTTTTCCATAATGAACTCAACTGAGTGAAATGAACTCATGTGCTGCCTGTGCTTTCTTTCATACAATGACCAAACATAGTGACCAGTGGCTATAAAGCTCCACAAATGATGTGCCTGGGCTTCACTTCTCTTTTATTGCTCATGTAATGGAGCGCTCGTAAATGGTTGATATAGTATGATACGGTCAGAGATACGCGCACAGCGATATAGAACTGAAGAGCTTTGTAATGAAAGTAGCAGTGCGAAACACAAATTTTCTATGTGATACATGCGTGTGTCATGGATTCCATTACTAAATGTGGTTTCATGGTATCCACATTTATCACACATACACATCCCAGCATGCACCTTCCCCAAGAGAATGCTCAGTCTTAGACCCTCTCCATCCAGCAAAGCTTCTGGCATTACCATGTAAGAGGGAAAGAGAGTGTGTGTGCATGTGTGTGTGGATTTGACATCAAATAAATCTCACTTGTGTCCCAAACAACCTTGCACTTGCTTTCTCCTTCGCCATCTCTGGAAGGACATCACAGAGGGGAACGGTTGTGTGTTCTGATAAGATAGAAAGGACACACACACATACACACAAAGATTTGCACAGCCATGTTTATGGGGACTGATGTTTCTAGTGTACAGACTGTATATTCTTTAACCCAACCCTGCCTCTAAATACAACCCTCACAGGAAATAATCTGCTTTTAAGTTTTTCAAAATATTTAATTATGTGACTTTTGAGCTGGTTTCTGCGCCAAAAATGTCCCCTCAAGATCAAAATTTGCTTGTATTGCTGTACTTTTAGGGATATTTGGTCCCCTCACACATGCACATCGATGTGCAAATCTGCATTGGTTCAAACAGATGCGGAAATGTCAAATGTGAGCAGGGAGGATTTATTTTGAAGGAATGAGAGAATGAATGCAATTATATGGTATTTTTCTGTGTATAACTGCACACCCAATAAACTTTACCTTCACATCAGGCTTAAGGATAATTACTGGTTTGTAAACATTCAGGATGCACACGCTTTATGATTACAGAAAACCTGGAAAAGATGAAGAGCCTTTTTATGGCCAGAAAATAATAAAGGAAAATATCAATTTGATTTTTTATTATAAAATCCTTGCAGTTCATTCATTCATTTTCTTTTCAGCTTAGTCCCTTTATTAATCTGGGGCCGCCACTGAGGAATGAACTGCCAACTTGTGTTTTACGCAGCGGATGCCCTTCCATCTTCAACCCATCTCTGGGAAACATCCATACACACTCGTACACTACGGACAATTTAGCCTACCCAATTCACCTGTACTGCATGTCTTTGAACTTTGTGGGGGAAACCGGAGCACCCCAAGGAATCCCATGCGAATGCGGGGAGAACATGCCACATAGAAACGCCAACTGACCCAGCCGAGGCTCGAACCAGCAACCTTCTTGCAGTGTGGGGACAGCACTACCTACTGCGGAACCGTGTCGCCTATCCTTGCAATTCTGAGATTAGAATTCACAATACTGATAAGGGGAAAACAACAGCTCATTATTCTCTTTCTTGTTTCCCTTGGCTCGAAATGTATCCAACACTTGTGGCTTTTTCACCCCCAGAGGTAACAGACTCACCATTTTTCATTTGAGTTGAGTTCTAAAATCAGAATTCTGAGATATAAACTTGAGGGGGAAAAAAGTTGAGAATTGTGAAATACATTAAAGAAAGTATAATCGTAACCTGAATAGGTTAAAATAATGTGTTTAATGAGGGTGGCACAGTGGTGCAGTGGGTAGCGCTGTCGCCTTACAGCAAGAAGGTCACTGGTTTGAGCCCCAGCTGGGTCAGTTGGCTTTTCTGTGTGAAGTTTGCATGTTTTCCCCTGTGTTCAAATGGGTTTCTTCTTGGTGCTTTGAATTCCCCCACAAGTCCAAAGACATGTGCTATTGGTAAATTGGGTAAGCTAAATTGTGCTGAATGTATGTGCGCATGTCCTGGTCCTCCAGGTTGGGGGTTAAGCATTCGGCTAACGACCCACCTCGTAAAAATTAGATGTTACAAAACGCAAACGGGGTGCGGCTAAATATCAACTTCGATTTAAATGTATGTTAAATACTGTAACATTAGGATAAAACTGTATGTTCCCTAGAAACAGCAACGTGGATATGTATTTTTTGTCCATAATAACGTCTCTGTTTAACACTTGTAGTCTAATAATTCCTTTTAAAATAAAACACTGTATGTTTTTTACATTTATTCATTCATTCATTTTCTTGTCGGCTTAGTCCCTTTATTAATTTGGGGTCGCCACAGCGGAATGAACCGCCAACTTATCCAGCAAGTTTTTTACGCAGCGGATGCCCTTCCAGCAACAAACCATCTCTGGGAAACATCCACACACACACACACACACACACACACACACACACACACACACACACACACACACACAAACTCATACACTACGGACAATTTAGCCTGCCCAATTCACCTGTACCGCATGTCTTTGGACTGTGGAGGAAACCAGAGCTTTTTACATTTATTTTATAATTTATTTAAACATTGTTATTTTAAAAAAGTTATCCTCAAAAGTTGAAAACACAGAAGAGTTTTGTGTATTATATCTTAATTAGCTGTATACGGTCATATTGACTGTATTATTATATCTGACAACATATTATCTCTGCATGGGCCACTTTAAAGTTCATGTTAATAAAGGGTTTCATTGTGCATTCACTCCAAAGTGTCGTAAAGTCCAAATCTCATAATCTCATAATTTCTTCTTCAAAAAAAAAACAAGAAATCATATTTTTATTAACAAATTATTCTGCCGTAGTTGTTAGCATTCACAATTTCAAAGGCAGTCCGATTCAAAAAAAAAAAAAAAAAAAAAAAAGTTGCTTTCCCGTCTCCCAGACACAATGCAGGACATACTCAAATATAATCAGACATTAAAAGAAAAAAAAGAAAAAAGATACAAAAATGACCTGACAAATTAATTTGGCTTTCAATACACAGCCTAGAATGAATTCAGTCAGAATGACTGTTATAGGCTTTCTAGAAATTAGAGAATTCTGGAATTTCTTCTGTTAAATGTCTACTTTAGCGTTATATCCTGTCTTTGATGAACTTGAATTCTATACAAATTATTTGCATACTAATTTTGACATTAAAACACAGTTTTTAAACATTTTTTTCCATGGATTTTACAAGATTATTACCAGTGTTTTTTTGTTCAATCAGTATGCGTTTGCAGCTTCAAGTGACAGTTTGTAGTTATAGTTTATGCTATAGTTAATTTAAATCATTTTGAACATTGTCATTTACAAATTTTGTGTTGTTTATTGACGCATATAACTTCTTTTTTGCTTTTTTGGTACACGAAAGAAGTAATTTTAAAGAATGATCTGGCCGCTCATTTGTATATGAGAAAACCGAAAGTGGGTCTGGGCTCCAAAAACAGCACATAAAGCCTCAGAGCTGCATGATTAATTGTTAAAAGACCTCAATTCAAACACCCACATGGTGTTATTCCTAAACGATAATGATTCAGCAATGTTTATCTTTGACAAGTAGGATCGCAGCCAAGATTCAGATCTGCATTTGTGCTTCTACAGACTCAGAGAGCAGTTCTGGTTTTTCGGTGACAGTATCATTATTTATGTTATAAAAAGTCATAGTTATAGTTTGGATATAAACACTAATGTCTACACTAGTGATTTAAATGTGAAGAAATTGATTCAAAACTTGAGGCTTCATTTGTATTGATACAAGTTGATAATTGAGAAATGAAATCAGAGATTCACTCTAAAATACTAAATCATCAAGTATTGAAACACACAAAATTTATGAGTAAGTTATTGGTTTTTGACTTGTTCAAAACCACTGATTTTCCTGTATTAAAAGAAGTGAAGTTGTAATAAGAGAATCTTTTAATCATTCATCCAAGATTAGTTCAAAAACAAGATTATTGGAGTAACTAATTGATTGAAGTCATTAAAAGTCATAAATTAATTATTCAGTTCAGTTACTACTGAGGGCGACACAGTGACTCCATGGTTAGCACTGTCGCCTCGCACCAAGAAGGTCGCTGGCTCAAGTCCCAGCTGTGTCAGTTAGCATTTTTGTGTGGAGTTTGCATGTTCTCCACATGTTTGCGTGGGTTTCCTCCGGGTGCTCCAGTTTCCCCCACAGTTCAAAGACATGCGCTATAGGTGAATTGAATAAACTAAAATGACCATAGTGCATGTGTGTGAATGTGTGTATGGATGTTTCCTATTACTGGGTTGAGGCTGGAAAGGCATCCACTGTGTTAAACGTGCTGCATAAGTTGGCGGTTGGTCTGGTGACCCCTGATGAGTAAAGGGATGAAGCCGAAAAGAAAATGAATGAATGAATTATTACTGATTGTACCAATTACACCATTAGGCCAGTGGGTGGCAACAAGTAATTGCTAAAAATATTGTTATTATTGCATCACATGTTCAAGAGATTTGTTAAAAAATGCTGATTTATCCAGTAATGAATAGGTGAGCTTTTTTATGAGTGAATCATTGACTCGTTCATAAATAGTTGCTAAATAAAATCATTCAAGATCTGTTAAGAAATGTCCACTGATAAAGTCATAAAACATGCAACATTTCTATTAATGAGTGATTAAATCCTTCACTCAACAGGTTTGTTCAAAACACTCTTTCATCCAATGAAAGAGTGCCACAGCTGCAGCCATATCACCCTGCAGCCTAAGACCGGTTACTCACTGAAGCCAAGCAGGGCTGAGCCTGGTCAGTACCTGGATGGGAGACCACATGGGAAAACCAGGTTGCTGTTGGAACTGGTGTTAGAGAGGCCAGCAGGGGGCGCTCAACCTGTGGTCTGTGTGAGTCCTAATGCCCTAGTAACAGTAAAAAGGACTCTATACTGCCAGTGGAAGCCGTCTTTCGGATGAGACATTAAGCTGAGGTCCTGACTCTCTGTGGTCAAAATCCCATGGCACATCTCGTAAAGAGTAGGGGTGTAACCTCGGCGTCCTGGTCAAAGTCTCTCCATCGGCCCTTACCAACCATACTCATCCACTGAATTGGCTGTATCACTGTCTCTCCACTCCCACTGTAGCTGGTGTGTGAATGGCGCTGTTGTCCTGTGGCTGCCGTCGCATCATCCAAGTGGATGCTGCACACTGGTGGTGGTGTGAGAGAACCCCCACCCCACCCCCCATGAATGCGCTATATAAATACATATTACATTACATTACAGTGATGAAACTTAACTGGTGTCACTGTTTCTTCAAGGCGTTCATTTAAAAATTCTCATGCAGCCAGTAATGAAACAAATTAAGTCTTTATAAGTATAAGTTTATAAGCTTATTCACACTGTAATGAAATAACTGAAGTCACTGAATCATCAATTTCATCTATATTTTTTTATATTATGGTTACTTAAACTGTGGCAATTACCATTTTGTCATAACTTTTAGTAAAGTACTTTTTTGTTTTGTTTAGCAGACTGGAAACATAATAAACTTAGACTAGACTTGAAAAATCATGATCTCTAAGGATCAGTGTGATTCAAAAGTTATTCAAAATTGTGCATCTTTAAAAATGTCTAGATGACTTGCACACAATAAGCCATTCAGTGGCTTTGTGTGATAGAAAAGATCCAATTAAAGTCACTTTAAACTAATTTTCCACTTTCATGAAACTTTTATGATGCTGCTTTTGTCATTGTGGAGCTCAACAGACAGGATCCCCACACAGTTGCATTATAAAGAAAAGTAAAGGTTGACAGAACTTTTTTCTCTTTCATTTTTTGGTTTGAAATGAAAATTATTCCTTTAAAAAGAAATGGAATTTAAGATTAAAGACAGGAAACGGTATGTGTGTGTGAAAAAGAAAGATATGAAGGCTAACTATGAAAAGAAAAAAGCTCAACTTTTCATCTGCAGTCAGCGCTTTCAGACTCTGCTTTAGCTGATAGCTTCTACATTTACATTTATGCATTTGGCAGAGGCTTTTTACAAAGACTTCTGCTGTGTATTCAATCCATATTCTTTTATCAGTAAATATAGGAATGATTCCCTGGGAGTAAAGCACACAGGTTTTTGTTTTGTTAGCTCGTCTCTCCCTCATTTATCGGCCAGAGCAGAAGCAAACAACAGTGGAGCAGAATGGAAATTCATGCTAGTCGAAGCAGGTGTTTCCAACACTGAATAACAACATTTCCTGTTGCTGGAGCTCTTTATTCATGGCCTGAGTTCTCTGTCCAGCCTCTGGTTTGGTTGCTGATATGACGGTTTAACAGTTTGTTTTTGTGTTTCAGGTGCGGCCCATTGGTTATGATGGAAATAATCCCACCTCAGTGGCTGAATGGCTGGAGTCTCTGGAGTTGGGAGATTACACCAAGTCCTTTCTCATCAATGGCTACACGTCTATGGAGCTGGTCAAGAAGATCTGGGAGATCGAGCTCATCAACGTAAGTCCTGCTCACCTCAATCTTCTGTTTGCTGCTGTGTTATGAAAGCTGGTGTCTGGCTTTTAGAAGTGAGTGCAAGATTTCCAGTTTCTAGGAAACCCGTGAAGTGGGGGGAAAAAAAGATTTGCAGATGTAAAAAAATGTAAGAAATTTTTAATTAGTTATATTTAGTTGAGTATTAGTTAATTATTATTAGTAGTAGCAGTATTAGCAGTAAAAGTAGTAGTTGTAGTTGTAGTAAGGGTTTTATCAAATTTAGTATTATTAAAATAATAAATATGTACATATTATATAAAAATGTATGGTATAAATAAATAAAATGAAGTAATTATATTATATTATATTATATTATATTATATTATATTATATTATATTATATTTATTATATTATATTATATTATATTATATTATATTATATTATATTATATTATATTATATTATAAAGTTAAGGTTTCGTTTATAAGGGCTTGATTAAGTTATTATTAGTGAAATACTTTAACTGTACAGTAGTTATTGATAGTATTGATAGTAAACAATTAAAAACTTCTGTCGTGGAACAATTATTAACCCATTAGTCTGTACAGTTCCAGCTGTTGGCTATATTTAGTATAGCTATATTTAATAATAATAATATATATATTATAAAAAATGAATTTTAAACATTATTTTTATTTATTAAATATGAATTCAATTGTTCAATTGTTTAGAATCTATTGGCGTTTGTATTATCCAATGTTTAAACAGATGAATGAACAATGTAGCAAATGCAAAAAAACAAATAACAACATAAAGTTTAAAGTTTTCAACATATAGAGTTTTAAAATAATCCTTGAAAAGTATTGACGATTAAAGAAACTAATCTGTGAAGCTTGCGTGTATGCAAACACAAGTGTTTAGCCATGAGTGCTGTTAGCAGAAAGCTGTCTCCTGAAACCAGATTAGCTTGAAGACCTTTGAAAAGACAGCCAGAGGTTGTGAGAGATTATCCTGAATTATGCTGACATCCTGTTGGCCAATTTGTTGTAATAGAGTTTCTGTGGCCTCTGAAGCTTGCCTGTAATTGTATTTGTTTGATAAACAATCCTGTCTGTTTCGTCTTTCTTTTGACTGCAGTGAAATTCAATAGCGTTTTTAGCATAACACTGTACAGCAGAAACTTTAGAAGAACTGAATCTGTTTTTGAGGTTTAGTTGAATGTCTCCTGAAGTGCTTTGTGATGCGCAGCTTTGACATGTGTGACGTAATTTCAACTGAATCATCAAAACATTGAGAATATACTCCTGCTTTTTAAACAAATTTGACAATAGAGTTTTGTTCCCATCAAATCCCTTCCAATCAAAGGACATCTGTAATTGCAATGCTGAGTCTGTCTGAACTTTTGTCCTCTTTAAAATACCCCATTCTGTGTTTAATTCAAATTGGTTTCATCCATTTAATGGTCTATGCTAACTTGTGCATTTATTCAAAACACACTTATATACATAAATGTATATGCTTTAAAATATTTAAATGTATGTTAAGGAAAAACAATTTCTATACATGTATGTGTGTAGTTATAAATGAACGTTCACATGCAAAAGCGTCTAAGTGCCATTTGAAATTTCTTTCTAAAATGAGCATTTTCTTCTGGCTTCTGTCTACAGCTTCAGTAATGTTTCATTCATGGCAGAGATGGGTTTATTTTCACTGCATTTTAAGTGAAATAATAGAATATAAACATAAGAGAAGAATTATCATTTTAGACAAAAAATCCTTAGAATTTAGAGGTTTTTGCATATGAAATCATCAAATACATAATACATATACAGACTACACAACACTATGTCAGTGCAAACAGTTATTTCGTATGTGAACAGTCGTGATTAATAACGTAACAGCATTATGTGCGTTTGTATGATGGATAATATACTTTCACAGTCTACATCATTTATCTACTATAGGTATAGTGGACTAGTGCATTAAAGTCCTCTTGGGATGTTTGTATTCACAAGTTGAAAAGTTGTAATTACAGGTGTGTTTAAGTCACTTTTGCCGGCACAAGATGGCAGTGTATCTTCTTTTGATAAACTACATGAAATTACAACAGTTTATTAACTCCACTTATTGAAAAGTAATAGCAAACTAAACTAAACGAAGCTATCAGTTTCAACAAAAATGTACTGTCAACAATATACTTTACATTTATCAATTCCAACATGTATCTTATTGACGTCTTCAACTTGGTCTGTTTATTTTGCTCACGTACAATATTGTTTTTTAAGTAAACAACTAATCTCTGCAGTCTACTTCACTAAAAAAAGTTTGTATTGGTAATCTTCAAAGTCTGACCATCAAGTGGTGGTCAAGACATCAGTTTGATGCCTTCAGCCATAATATTGTTACCCACGCCCCTCTTGCTTTTAGTTTGCTATAAGGTAATGATGCCCAAAAATAAAGCCCCGCCCACTAATCAATATTCCGTTTTAGTTGTAAAAACATCAACAAACAAATACAAGTCTCAGCAATTTGCAGTTCACACAGACCTTAAGACATTTTTTTGAGTTTTTCTACTTGTATTAAAGTTTGTTTTATGACTTGAATGCGCCACGTGTGTCATTTACCATAGAGAAAATGTTAATTGTGTGTAACTGACAATTTAAAAATTTTAGTGGCCGGTATGCCGACTTTGTTGGAGTATGCAATGCATTTTTCCCTTTAGCCCTTGCTGTAGATTGATAAGTATACATGCGCATGCTGACTTTTTATGGTTCCTCCTCTCATTTTTCTAGCTAATAAACATGAAATAGTTCTGATCAACACTGTGTAATCTAACGTTTAGGGTTTTTTAATATCTTGCAAGTGTTTATAAAACCATCGGAATTAATGCTTGTTTACATAGTGACCAAGCTGTCATACTGTAGTATACTGTAGTGTGTAGCTGTCATACTTTAGATAGTACAGAGCATTTGATTTGTCAGAAGATCTGATGAGAAGCTAAATTATGACAGTGATGTCATGATTTTGAAATGCAAATCTGGTCAGTGTTTTGGAGAACACTAAATTATAGATAACCTCAAATAAAGCTTAATATTGCTGACAAGTGAGCAAAGATATTTTGATTTCAGGGGTTCTTTAAATGTTATCTGCGTGTTTGAGAATTAGTCCTAATATCTGCTTGCATATATATTAGCGCAACAGTTTTATCTCGATGAAACCCTGTTGCTATTCCTGCATCCCACATGTGTAAAATGAAAATCGAATGCTATTGCTTGATTAATTTTTCTCCATGTTTTGGAAAAAATAAACGGCATGTTTGATGACAGGGAGATCATGTGACATGTCGCCTTTAACGGGTTTGGTGTTAAAAGACTAATAACAGCCTCGTGTATGCTAATTTCACTCACTTTTCAGCTGAGAGAGAGAGTAAGAGAAACAGAGGAGAGAGCAGATTATATAATAATGTGGGATGTGATTTCTTTAGCTCTTGAAAAAAAATATATACACACACTCACCCACTCACTGTGCACAGAGACAGTATAACAAGAATACTGCAGTGGGAATAAACATGGAATGAACGCAAGGTTTGACCACAAGAGGGAGACAGAGTGAGGAAAATGTGTAATATGATGTGTTTCTATAAGTAGATTTACATTTACATTTAGTCATTTAGCAGGCGTGTTCTGATTGTTTGTGCATTGAGGTGAAACAATACCAAAGTATGTGTGAGTGTTCTATTAACACTAGTCATTCCCTCTGGCTATGTTTAATGAATACACACAGCTTTAATAAGATTGACATAGACTGAGTGTTTGCTCAAGGAGGCTTTTCATTTACACTCTCATGTTGTTTAAACCTGTTTATTTTTTCGGTGGAACACACAAGTAGAAGTTTAGAACAATGTCCATGCTGCTCTCTTTCATATAATGGACAGGGAGGTGAATTAGACTGTGAGCTGTTAGATTTGTACTGTAGTAATTGTGTGCTGTATTAAAATATTCTAAATATGATATAAGGTTTGTGTGGTAAAAATAAAATAAACATGCTGTATATGTCATTTGTTGTTTGCTTTGTTGTCATTCCTAACTAAAACTACTACTCTCTGCAGATGACTTGATATAGAGCACACAATGTGAAGTATGTAAAGTAATTTCATATAGTTTTAAGCAGCCTCAATCCCTATTGGCTTAAATGGCAACACACATTACTTAATTTCTCCTTTATTGTTTAGTTTACAAACACTAACAGGTTTTTATTGACATCAACATGAGTGAATAATTAAAAAAAAAACATTACCAAAAAGATTTGACTGTTTAAAAAGTCTGAAATAGAGTGGATAAAGTTAGTGCATGCATAGACAGTGGTGACTTTTTTTGTAGTCAGTCTGCACTGAATGTCCTCTAATGAGCATATTCAGACTAATCGCAGAGCGCCTTTGTCTCTCGGGTCACTGTGCTGAACTCTGTGCTGTAAATGAGATATTCTGTCCGATGACGCTGGACAGTGTGTGGTGAAAAACACAGCAGTGTCCAGAATACAAGAGCAAAACAGAATAAAACCTTGTAGACATGCGCAATATTTATTGTATAGGGTATTATTGTAACTGTTGGTTAATTCAGACATTTGCTGAATACTGTTTTTTCCCTACTATATAGTAGGGATGTGTGTGGTTTTAGAGGCAGCCAGTCACTTGCTTTATTTCTAAATGAATCAGCAATTTTAAACAAATCATTTGAATGAGACATGGATATATATATATATATATATATATATATATATATATATATATATATATATATATATATATATATATATATATATATATATATATATATATATGTATATATATTAAGGGTGTAACGATACGCATATTCGTATTGAACCGTTCGGTATGAGACTTTCGGTTTGGTACGCATTACAAACCAAACGATTTAATTCAGACTAACATCTAAAAAGATAAAAGGGAATAAGTACAAAATATCATGTTTTCAGTGCAACAACGCTCAACATGGCATCCCAAATGA